ATATATATATATATATATATATATATATATATATATCGTTTTTTTTATTGCTTTCTGCCTCGTTCTCACTATATCTGTTGTCTTCCTCCCTGGTAAACCCCGGCTAAGCAGACATCCCAATAACAATCAGAGGGTGGGCAACCTAACTGCCATGGCTCATGTAAAACCACAACAGTTGCCAGGCAACACTGTTCCCTCCACAGCAGGAGCAGGAGTCCAATAGAACATTAATGATTCTGAGCACAAACACACTGGACTGCTGGTGTCTGCTAGATATTTTACTATGGTTAATTACGCAAGAAAGTGACTGCAAAAACACACCGAATTTTACAGTTCATCTGGGCTAAAAAAGAGGCTAATGGAAGCTCAATCTCAGGCCCAATCTGGAGCCTGAGGATGACTGTGATTGGATCCTTGTGGATCTGTTCAGTATCACCTTTAAATTTCTAAGTGGCTCTTATCGGTCCATGTCCATGTATGGTTTGTGTTTGACATCCTAATTTATCTTGCTGGTTGTTCACACATCAGCAGTGATAATAATTTAAGATGTATTCTGCTGGCAGTTTTCCCTTGAACTCAACCCTGGTCTTTAAGACCCAAGTAACAGCTAATAGACACAATGATTGGTTTTTTTTCCCTTATGGTCTTGAGTACGTAAACATGTTAAAATTCCATGATATTTTTCCATATGTCTTCATTTTATTTAGGTTTTTACTAAAAATGGAAAATTCTGTCATTATTTATGCCATCTCGTGTTGTTCCAATCTTGTATGACTGTGGAATGCAAAATAAGATATTTTTATATCATTTTAATTGTTTAAAATGTTTTTTCCCCATAATGAAAGTCAATGGGGTCCAAAACAACACGACTGAACATGAAAAACACTGAGACATTATCAAAAAGAGGGGTATTGTAGCAATGCAATGGAAGAACCATTTTTGGTTTCCTAAAGAACCTTTGAACAGTTCTTTAAAAGTTTGAAGAACATTTTAGTAATCTAAAGAAACTTTTTCCATTATAAAGAACCTTTTGTTCAATGGAAAGGTTCCATGGATTTTAAAGGTTCTTCATGCCAATTAAAACCTTTATTTTGAAGAGTGCATTCTATCTCCTCCTTTCAGTTATAATCAACATAGACTGTACAATCCTTAAATGAGAAGCATAATCTAGGTATTATTAAATCTTTGTGCATTTGGGATGTTCTAGAATCTAGATAATGGGAGATTGATTTATTGAGGATTATATGGATTCATCCTTTAGTTCTGCAACATCTCCAGCCCACCTACTGTGATCACCTTTGTTCTCTGGCTCTGAGATTTATGGAACAGTTCAAAAGCTCCCACTGGAGAGCGAATCTGAGAGAGACAAAAGAATGACAGAAAGAAAGCCTGATGCCGTTTTGCAGGTCTTCAATGTCAATGGGTATTGCAAGACCATGAATTTAGCCAACACACTCTAATCCAAATGGACACAATAACCTTCCAAATCAACCCGAGTAATGCTATTCATTTAGACAAACTAAAACAGAACATGCCAGCACTGAAGACAAGCTCAGTATCAGTAGAGCTAAAATATCAGTATCAGATATCAGTAAGAGCTAAGCAAATTAGTCACTGCGGGTAATTCTGGGAAGTTGTGGAATTATTTATTTACTGGCATTTTTAGGTAGCATGTTGATGCATTCAGAGACTTTTATTCATGGGAAGTTGTTTTAAGGGACATTTTTTATGAGACAAAAGGAGAAAGGCAAGTAATTAAAGACCGGAATAATGCAATTACGTATTCAAGAGTGCAATTACAAACCTGCAGGAACATCAGTGTCAGCCTGTCGCCTACTCTCCTGGGTTTTCATGGAAGAGAATTACGCTTACTCTCTTGCATAAGAAATTACTTTATGTTTGTTACAAGTGTCTTTTACTAGCATATTGTGTATTTACTATTTAAAGGTTCTAATATTGTTTATTGCTCTGGGTAATTTTTCATAAATAACTCTTTACAATAACACTTTATAATAAGGTTCCATTCGTTAAAATTAACTAACAATGAACATTTCATCTGAACCATTTATTAATCTTAGTTAATTTTATTAATACATTATTAAAATCAAAAGTTGTGTCTGTTGATATTATTTAATGGACTTGAGCTAACATGGACTAACAATGATCAGCTGCATTTGTATTACCATTAACAAATATATTGCTCATTGTTGGTTAATGTAACACTTTATTTTAAGGACCAATTCTCACTAGTTGCTTATTAGCATGCATATTATTAGCATATTGGCTGTTTATTAGTTTATTAGCTGTTTATTAGTATAAAGCACATATTAATGCCATATTACAGTTTTTCTGAATTGCTAAAACACTAAACCCCATTCTCTGAACCAAATTCTCACTAGCTTAAACCAATTTGTCGAATAAAGCACTCTTTCTGCGAAACCTTAAACACGTTCAGGCAGTTAGGCTCTATTTGCAAATCTTATGCACTCTTTTTTGCAAAACTCTAAACACATTCTCATTCACTTAAACACTTATCACACTGTGATGCATTTGAGCTGCAAAATGCTAAACACACGCGGCAAAAGTTAAACACAACTAAAGCACAGTTGTCATTGTTTACACAAAACTATTCAAAATTGTTCACACTTGTTTCTAATGATGTGATCAAGCCAACTGTACAAAATATGAGTCAGTTCAGAGTGCACAAGTGGCACAGGTGACTGAATGATGATACGAACAATAGATGGAAACAAGCTGAGAAGGAGAGGAGGAAGAGTAAGAAGTGGAGGATGAGAAGGAAGAGGATGATGAGAGAAAGAGTAAGGTTTAGAGAGTGTTATCAAGGCTGGATCTGTCAGACCAGAGGGTTTTTTTTCCTCTGTCTAGCAAAAAAGACAACATTACTTGTGATAGTTTTATTTGACCTTTTTGGCCTTTGCAGTTGGCCTGCAGTATTTTTGCAGTATCCAAGTGCTGAATACATACAAACATTCAGTACTATTCAATATTCAGCACAATACTATTCTTGCAGTACATAGGCCTATACAATATATTCACCTTACTCAGTTGCAATTACTATAATTTTTTACAGAATTGCAAAATTGTTTACTCAATACAATATACTTTTTCTGTAATGTTCTGGATGCTGTGTTCTCTATTTTTCTCTGTAGTGTCTAATGAATGCTCTGTAGTGTTTATTTTATTGACTCGTGTGTGTGATCTGAGAGCACTGTTTGGTTTTGAGTGCAACTGAAATGGTTTTGCAGTGATTGTTTGATTTTGATTGAAGAGTCAGAGGTTTCGTGAATTTAGTTTGAGTATTTGGATTTGTGTTTAAGGTTTTGAGAAAACGAGTGATGGTTTCAAGAAATGTGTTTTAGCAATTCAGAAAAACTGTAATTCTGCATGTATTTTAGATCCCTTAATCTTACCCCATACCTAAACTTAACAACTACCTTACTATTAACAAGCAGCAAATCGGGGGTTTATTGAAGGAAAACTCTTAATTAATATGTGTTCCCTATTCTAAATTGTTACTGTTAAGGTTAGTCAATACATTAATGTTAATAGAACCTTATTGTAACCATAACATACAGATTTAAATGATAAAACTGTTAATTAAAAAAAAACTGTTACATGAAATGAAATCCCTCTCCTGCAATTGCCTCATGCTTGCCAGAAAATTCAGATGTTTACTCTGTGTTTTGGAACATGATAGGTGGTTTAGCTGTTAAAAGCTGGTCATTAGCCGGTTAAGCAGCTATCATGTATAAAATACATCTACCAGTATAAGCTAAAATAGATAGATAGATAGATAGATAGATAGATAGATAGATGTGTAATTATTTTATGAAATACTATGTTAGTAGTTAGTGATATACTCAGCTAAAAAAATGTTAAAATAAAATAGAATGTAAATCAAAACGAGAGCACGCCGCCAGTACGGCTAAAAAATGGACCTCTTCACGGATGCTTCGTCTATGCGGACACAGACTCAAGTGCTCCAGAGCCGTTGATTGTGTGTGTGTGTGTGTGTGTGTGTGTGTGTGCAGGTCTGCTCATGCGCCCATGAAGAGATGCTGCTGCTGCTGCTGCTGATCAGAGGTGTGTGCGCTGCGGCTGGCTTATTTACACCCGTTCAGTCACACTGCATCATAGAAAAGCTCTGGCGCTCCTTAGGAAATGGACTTTCTAAAGGGATTAATGTGTCTCTATGGTGATACATCTCAAGGTTAGTACTGAGATATGTCGTTGAGTCTATTTCTTTACGTAATGTTATCCTTGCCTGTGTTAAGCTCTATCGGTGCGTCTGCCATCATTTGTCGCTCTGCGCTCGTGCTGAAAACGTTTTATTTTCAGTCTCTCTGAAGACTGCTCGTCTACACCTCTTCCTCGTCTTTCCGTTATTCTTTTCTTTAAATGGGAAAGACGTGTCACACTGCTGTGATGTGAAATTGATGAGACAATGTTTTACTTTGAAATTAAATTTTTAGGCACAACAGTATGCAGGTAATATATTTATGCGGTTTTTGGGGACAGTGTAATTTTGATCCCATTAAAATCCTGGATTACTGCATGCATACGGTAAATGGTGCAATGCTACACCATGCTGAGTCCGTAGAGGCCATAACACACATAACACTTACAAATTAGCTTTTTTAATTGGCATGATAAATGCAAACACACAAAAATACATAAATAAATAAAACGATAAATAAAACATTTATTGTTGTTGTACATTTAGGTACCGCCATGTGGGCCACGTTCTCCTATTAGAATGAATAGGTCAGAGCTTGTTTGTAAACCTATGCGCATGCATAAGGTTGTGCGCGTTGAGCGCGCGCTTGTCTGGACAATACTGTTTTCACATTCATTCATGTTACCTTAACCCGTTCAGACCCGAATTATGTTCCAAGGAACACAAAACATGACCGTGCTTTATTTCTACTTTAAAACCTTGTTGGAAAATCAATCCACGATGGTTTGTAGTTGATGGTCATTATTTGGCGCAAGCTAGCTCGTTGACTAGCTACCATGTAGAGAATAGTTTGAAAACCTTTTGACCAGATGCTGGTTTGTTGCTGAAGACGCTCTGCCTGCTTTTACCAGCTAACATGTTCTAAAACAGTTTTTACCAACCATAAACTCAAAAAAAGTGTTACGTTTTTAATGAGTGTACATGGCTCTGAAGGGTTCAGGTTAGCCTGAACTAATGATTATAATTTATATAGCCAAGTATGTACACTTACAGGGACGGTCCCTTGGATCATCCTCTCAAACCTGGACTCTTTTGGCGACCAGCTCAGTTTTTTTTTTCTTCACAGTGCCACAACTCCTACAACTTTGGCATGTTTTCAGACAGACATAAAAGTTGAATATCAATACATAAGCAATGTAGTGCAATAGATGTCTGTTATTTTTACAGGCAAATGGCCATGAAAACAAAATATCCATTTAGTAACTTTGATCAGGCATGGTTTGCAGATAATCTGACTCAATTTAAATATAACTAAAATGTAAATATAATAGTTAGAATTATGTCATAATTTTATGCCCTGTCACAGGCTACAGTTTCAAAACAAAAATATTTTGTCAAAAAGCAGCAATGAATTAAGTTTACTCTGTAGCATTCTAGAAATTCTGTGATTTGATTACTAAATGACAAAAAAAAGGACAGTGGGTCTAAACAGGTTAACAATTTGAGACTATTTGTTTCTAACAAAAAAAAAAGTACATAAAGCATAAATCACTTTTGTTTCTTTTTGTCTTGTAGCTCTAAATTTGTGTCATCAGTCCCACAAGCTGTTCCTCCAAACAGTGTGGAAAGGATTTACACAGCCACATTACTGAAGAGGATTCTATGACTTATGCTACATCTCCATTTTAACTGCGTGTCAGAAATGCCCCCTTCCATAAAGTGGTGCATTAGGTGGGCTGTCTGCTTGTCCTTCATTCTTGCACTGATCCCCAGGTCCAGAGGATCAACGCTGAATTGTCACAAAATGTGCATATGCGCCAGCAACATCGTCAGCTGCTCCAAGATGAACTTGACGATGGTTCCATCTGACTTGCCCGACTACACAGCTGTGCTTGACATTAGTTTTAATGAGATAACCGGACTTCGCGCACAATGGACCAAGCACAAACTTCCCAACCTCCACAACCTCTTGCTCAGCCACAACGGTTTGTCGTTCATCTCTTCTGAGGCGTTCATTTTTGTAAAGCAATTGCGATACTTGGATCTGTCATCAAATAACCTGCGACAGCTGGACGAGTTTATTTTCGAGCCACTGATAGATCTGGAGGTTCTTCTGCTCTACAACAACCACATCTCGCAGATCGACCGCACAGCCTTCTCAGGCCTCAACAACCTGCAGAAGCTCTACCTGAGCCAGAACCAGGTGTCCCGCTTCCCCCTGGAGCTCCTCAAGGACAAGAACCGACTGGACAAGCTGAGCCTGTTGGACTTGTCTTCCAATCGGATCAAAGTTCTCCCCATTCAAGACCTCCAGGCACTGCCGGCCTGGATCAAGAATGGGCTGTACTTCCACAACAACACCCTCATCTGCGACTGCGAGCTGTACAGTTTGATGACTCATTGGTATATCCGACGGCTCAATTCAGCTGTGGACTTCAAGGATGACCACACCTGCGTGCATCCCGGCCTGGATAAACGGGTGCTGCGTTTGTACGATCTCAACACTCTTATGAACTGCAGCACGTTTAAAGAAACTGACCAAGAAGCTTATTTGGAACAGACGCTCACCCTCAGCTGTGATACCAGACATCGGAACATGTCCAAGACTTGGATGCTACCTGGAAACATAGCGGTGCCTCCTTACGATAACCAGAGCATTGTGCCTCTGAAAGACGGCAACCTTGAGATAAAATCGATACGACCTGAGGACTCAGGTGTGTACACTTGCTTTGCCGTGAGTGAATACCTCAACGAAACGCTCTATGTGGTGGTCAAAGTCCACAACTTCACCCTCAATGGCAACAGCGAGACCCTCAACACCGCTTTCACCACTTTGGTGGGCTGCTTGGCCAGCGTGGTCCTGGTTCTTATCTATCTGTACCTGACGCCCTGTCGCTGCTTCTGCTGTCCCGACCAGGGCAAAAAGAACCATCATGAAGACAGCATCCACTCCTCCATGCTCAGCATCACCCCGACGCACGAGGACATGGCAACCAAAGCAGAGCTCAACAGGCATGTGGCCTTCATAGACCCCAAGGACCTGCAGGGACAGAACGGAAAGGTGAATCCTAACGGAGAGGAAGAAGTGGATGAGGAGGCCATGAAGGGAAAAGGAAAACGGAAGAAATCACTGGCAGACTCGATTAGTTCGGTCTTTTCTGATACTCCCATTGTAGTCTGAGGGAGGATGTGTATTTTTGGCTAGAGACAGTTCTTTGTTGTGGCTTTCTCGGATAAAGAGACTGAAGTACACAGTTTGCCATCCTCAGTCTTTGGCTGTTTCTACAAAACCTTTCCAGCATTTTAATCTGTAGCACTTAAGTATATACTGTGAAAAGGTCTTGCCATATTAGTGGAATCTAAACTTGGAGTGTTTAGATGTTCCTGTGAGTTTAAGCCCACTAAGTGTGACTAGAGGTAGTCTGGGTGAACAACAAATGCATTTTGCGATTTCTCAGTGATCAAGCTAGGAAGCTAGGCTGACAGACATTAGAACATTAATACATCCTCTATATAATCACATTATAAGCATGAGCTTTGCCGACTGCTAATGTTAAGAATATAGCACTGAATGAAGCCCTTGTAGCTAATCATATTTACCACATTTTATGCTAACTGACCAACCTTACCACTTTATGTGAAGCCATATGCAGTTGGTCACTGCAAGGGAAAGCAATGCACAATAGCATTTGAGAGTAGTCACAGGAAAATGATGGAAAAGTATTTTTATGTTTTTTATGGAACATTAGAAGTTGTTTGGAATGAAAGTCAAACAGTAAACTGAGCATTAATGGTCACTTACATGAAACTTCCTCCACCTATTTATGGCAATGGAAAAAATAATATCCTGGTAAAACTTAAATGGCTGTTTGAATCTAGACTCTTTAAGTCCAATTTCATAAGTTTAAATATCGGATACCAATATAAAACAAAACTGTAAGAACTTACAGAGTTCCATTTATATGAAACTATAATACAGCAGTTTTTCAATGTATTACCCCTCGCATAAAAAATGCAGAACGCATGCATTTTCAGCCGCTTGAGCTCATCTGTCATGACAACCAGGGAGTGACATATAACCAAAATGCTAATGCAATCTTTTAATAGAATGACATGTCCCATCTGCCTGAACTCTCATCTCTAAAGCAATGATGATTTGAGCTTGGATTCAACAGCCAAAACAGTTTCGGATACTCAGACCTCTTCTCACCCTGCGTTCATTTGCACTTGTGGTGGTTGGAGTCAGTGCTGACTCATCCATTGTCAGAATGGAAGTCATTTTTTAAGCCCTTGAAGTGCGGAGGTAACCTTCATCAGATAAAAAGCCAAAGGCTGAGGGATTTTTTAAATTATTTTTTAACCTCGAACCATTATAATTTGAATACATTTTCTGAATGGATTAAAAATCAAGTTTGAAGTTTGAGTGATTAGCCGAATGTTCTCCTCATGTTCTGGTATTCTAAATTATTACTACAGGCATACAGCAGTGATCTCTCAGAGACCAGTATTATATTTGCATATACAATGTTGTAGGAACCTAAAGAGACTGCTACGAATCATAATGTAATGCGTAAAGCTCGTTGGCCGTGCTCAAGGAAGATGTGACTAGATCCATTCCAAGCAGATATCAACATTGTCCTGGTGGACTGTTCTAGAACACCAGTCAATGATGTTAGAAAACCATACGTGGAACTCTTACTTCTGGGAATGGCACTTCTATTCTTCTGTTACTGGAAAGAAATCAGAATCATCTCACATGTTAACCATAACCACATATTTATAACGGGGTCTGGTTGGGATCAGCTGGAGCAATCTTAGTTTCCTCCGGCCTCTTTCCCTAGTAACATCGTAATTACATCCTGTTTTACGAGCGAGGGAGTGGGTGAAGCTATTAAATGTTTGATAGGTGGATGAACTCACAAACAGTATTATCTCAGGGAGAGGGAATGACAGATAATAGCAGCTATGGCAGACTGCAGTCATGGGCAGTTACGGTCTCTTACACGTCTCTCTGCAATCCAAAATTAGTGTGCAGAGGAGGGAAAGGCCTTACCATTACGAGTGCTGTGGGAGGAGGCCTGAGATCTCTGTGGTTCGCAAAGAGACAGAAAAGCCAAATGCTCCCCCTAAAACCACATCCAGCAGCTTTTCGCCCCTGTTGTGTGTGTTCTTCTTAACTGTGTGTCCTTGGCTATTTTGCTACGAGCAGAGTTCTTGTGAAAGACCACTGTTCATTACTCACCATTTAACAGTAGGCTACATCTGTGCTTTTGTCTGTGCAAACAGTGTTTGTTTTTACAGTGTTTATGAGATCGTGTCATTTTAGGTAGCTTTTTTCCCCTTGAGGTTCCAAAGAGACTGAATTAATTCCTTGTTCTTCTGTGTATTGTTCCTATACAGTTGTCTAGATTCCACTTGTGACTATATGATGTTGGTAAACCTATTTTAATGACACTGACTGTAAAGGTCTTTCTCTGTCATGTATTTTGAAATCTGATCATCTATTTGTCTATTATATGTTGTTATTTAGGCACATAAATTAAGTTTTTTTTTAATGTCAGTAAATGAAATCTCAAGAAGCATCACAGACTGTATCCAAGTCCAAAACTCTGTTGCATTAATTAGAAAATTCAACTTCAAGTCAACGTGAATTGCCGTTCATAGCCCATTTTACTTTTTTAATCAGATGTATATCTGAGTGAAACGTGATATTCAACAAGAAAAAATGGGGCGGGAAATTGATTGGATTGTGAAAAGTGAGCATTAAAAACCAGAATGTAGCCAGACTGAATGCAAGTTTGATGAATAAAATGCCTGAATAGCTCTGGCTATTGGTTAACATATCCAATATCCCAAAAAAAAAAAAGTCAAAAAGTAATTTCAGGAAAAGCGCAAGTTATTTTAATTACATGTTGACTTGCAGCCTCTCAGAATGTCAAAATAGACAATAATAGAAGCACTTGTGCAAATGTTGTCTCAAAACTGTCCTATATTAGCTTTAGTACCAGTTTAAAGGCCCGTTCACAACAAGGATGATTACTATAATAATAACTAGAAAGCTGTAATAATCATTCTAATTCTTTGAGAATAGTGGAGTCCAAACCACAACTTTAACGATAATGGCACAGAGGAACGATATGGTTGGAATTTCACTTTTTTCCACACAACTTTGAAAAACCTGAGCATTTAAAGGGGCAAATGCAGCATAAAAACTGCAGCGTATACCTAATATGTGGACAGTAATATATTTATTGTTACAGTTATCATTTTTTATATGAACGGCCTTAAAAATTTGGTGCTAAAGGTATGTGGTACTAGAGACTAGTCCCTTCTGTTCTTTACTAGCATTTAGAATCTTAAAACTCTAGATTAACAGAATTCAAAATAAGTAACAATATCAACAGCATTTGATAGTTAGTTGTGACTAAGTCTAGTTCTTCTAGATTTGAGTACACAAAAAAACATAAAAACAGAAGTAGACGAACACAAATGTACTAGAATCTCAGTAATGCAAATATAGCTGTACCAATTCTTAGTAAGCAAGCATCATGATATACATACATACTGCTAAAAACTGTGAACCCTAAATGGTTTGAGATCTAAAGTCTCAGCCATCATTACTAGTGTCTGAAAGCGAGAATAGAAATGTTGTCAGGTCCAGTATTAGAGCTAGAGGCCTTACTGTAAAAGCTTATTTAGTCTGAATGTCAAAAACGAGACTGATGAGTGCCGGGTGGTGCGGATCCCTGTCCTAGAGTGAAACGGACTGCTTGATGATAATCCAGAAACTGATTCTCCATCAGCAGTCCTCCCACATGGAAGTTTACCTATGAGAAGTATTATTTATCAATAATATAAAAGTGAATAAAAAATGAAATTGACTGTTTTTGATTATTTTTTATGCTTTCTGTCCAATCAGACATACAGAAACGTGTTAGTTTACATTTAGCTGACACTATTTATCCAAAGCTACTTGTAGTTGCATGAACCATTCGTTTCCACAATAACCACATTATTATTACATACAGAATCTTTGAAATGAGCACTTTAATAAGGGATCGGCTATATTTAAAGATATACAGGAGATTTATTATTGCTATGGTTATATTAATGGACTAGTCTAAATTAAATACTTGCCCAGAGGGAGGAGATGAAATGATTTTCTATGTTAAATTGACAACGTGCCACAAATACAGATTTTTATTTAAGCCAAAATAGTCTTTTAAAGCTGCACTCACTAGGTTCGTTCTACAATGACATGTGTAAACTAAACTTTGCAGCATCCATGCTGAAGTACACAACCACTGTTGTATCATCCAGCACAACAAACAAAAAATGACCCTTTGGCCTGTCTGAGTAAAATGGAGGTATCTAGCAGTTTAGTGTCATCTAGTGGTGAGATGACAGCTCAATTCATAAAAAGCAAGACAAAAGAAACGTGTTGGCATATTTATTTCAGAGTCCATTATCTGGCAGTCCGTTTAGCAGCATATGGAAGGTCTTGAGGTATTTCTATATTCATTTGCAGGTCATTCACAAATACATTCATTCACATAGAAATCCAGTATAAAAAACACAGACACACACATACATGCATATATACTGATACGTCCTCCTACAGTGAACTTCAAACACTTTCACCATCCTGTGCATAAAGTCTGTAGCAAATACATGGCAGTAAGCCTGTGCTTTTGGAGGAGTTTAAGGCAGACTCCCTCAGTGAAGAAGATTTGGCTGTTGGGAGAAAAGAAGAGCAGATGGTCAGAAAAAGGATCTAAATTCAGAGCCGAGACTCAACCACTGTGCTGAATTAAACCTTGATGATTCATCTTATTAACAGACTATCAATCTGTGACTTCCTATACTTGTTGTTCTAACACTGTGTATTCTTATCTTTGAAGTGTTTAAAAAGTAAGCTTTGCCAGTTTTCTTCAATAACTTTAATGCAGTTCCTTTCCCTAACAAGAGGATTACATGTCTACCAAGAGCTGCTTGAGCTTCCAGACCCCTACACATTGGTCGTATTAGGTTATTATTTAACACATCACTTAAAGGTGCACTCAGTATTTTCATCATTAAAGTGTTTTACGCCTAATGAAATCAATAGGACTTTTAAAATCATGCCACATTTTAAAAGCACTCACATTAGATGAATCATACAGCCTAAAAGCCATTTAAATTTGGGTAGTTAAAAAAAAAAAAATCAACCACCAAATAAATACTACAAAAAAAAAAAGAGGAAAAAGAATTTGATTTTGTAAAGGAAAATGTAGTTTTAGATACTGTAACAGGCCACTATTTCTTCACTATTTCACATGCCAAAATTACAAAAATTATGATAATATAGAAATTAAACAAATCATTTACATAAAAGATTATAAAATGCTGTTTAAAGTATGCTTTAAATGTTTTAAATACATTCAGAAACAACTAAATATAAGTTTCACCCCTCCAGTGTTGTTATTGTTAACTAAAACTATTAAAATCGTTTTCAGAAACTGAAATTAAAAGCTGAAATAAAAAAGATAAATATTAGATTTAAAATATTAATGTAAAAAACTTGCCTTGACAACTGAAATAATAAGTTTAAGTACTAAAATTACTAGACCTGAAAATTAAAACGCTATATAGAAATATTTAGCAAACCCTAATAAGCACATAACAAAATTACTCAAACTTAAGCTAAATTTAAAATGAAAACTGAAAATTAAAAAATAAAACCCAATTCAAAATATTACTAAATACTATAGTATTTACAATAATAAAATTTTAAATGAACTACCATATTTTTTTTTATATGATTCATATTTAGGGACATCCTTTAAGACAAAGGAACCCAATAATATAATGAGAGATGCTTTTTTAGATTAGATTTCATCTAAATTATTCATTAAATGAGATTCTTATGAGTTATTAAACACTGAAGAAATACTAGAGAAGGCTATATCTCCATATTTCTCCCAAAACGATATGATAAAATTGAGACATACTGAGAGAGTTGATCATTGATAATGTCACTAAATGTCCAAGACAACATATTGGCCAATGCAACAAATAAACAACAACAACAACAAAAAAAAACAATACTGAATGCATCTTCAGTTAAACTACTGAAAAACAAACCTTCTGTGCACCTAGTTTCTTTGGCAGATTATGGGAGGTTGGTGCTGGTCTGCCATCCCCACCGCATGACACCAGGCTGGAGTGAGTTTGGGAGAAAGAGGAGAGGATATTGGATTTAGGGGCACATGAAGTGTTTTTGAGGGGAGAGGCATCGCTGGTCTTACGTTTCCTGCCAGACCCTTTATGTTCGTACCCAACAGCCCTTTGATTGAGCCCTGAGGCCCCTCCCTTATCTGACTCTGGGGAGGGAGAGGGGGAGATGTGGGCGGGGCTTTGCTTAATCAGCACCTTCATTTCAGGTTGGTGTGTTCTCCTGCCAGCTGAGTGTGCGCCATTAAACGGGCCATGTGGTGAAGAAATCATAGTTCTGTTCAAGGAGGACTGGGGGAGAAATAGGATTTTGGACTGTTCAGGTGAGTCCTTGTCCTTTTTGGGAGATTTCCACTGCTTACTGGCTGTGGGACTCTCCTGAAGCTCCCTGAAACCCACTTGCAAAGCCTGTTTGCTGGTCCGACCTGCAGGGTTACGGGGCCGGGTGGGGCCTGAGTTCGTCTGGGCTTTCGTTGGTAGTTTGGAGGCGGCTGTTAGGTTAGTGGGCTCTGATTGTCCTGAGATGCTTGTCCTGAGAGTAGAGGCACTGCGGATGGGTACGGAGCTGCGCGTGGCATCATGGGAATTGTAGTTGTTTGTGGTGACTAGGGGTTGATGAGAGCATAGTTCTGACAACTGAGGGATTTTCCTACAGACATGAGATATACTTACAACAAACAAAATTCACAGGCAAATTAAAAAAAAAAATCCATTCTTGCACAAATACATTAAAAAACAACCCATTTTGTAATTTAAGAAATTAAAGCAAATAAATGAATATAAAATAATTTTAAAATAATAATTATTATTAGTGTTTAACAATAGTAACAGATTCATTAAATATTAAACAAATCTGAAAATTTATTTTTTTATTTTTTTTAATCAATTTGTTATACTGATAATATATTTGTAATGAAAAATAATTGAAGTAGAAAAAGATCAAATAAAACACAAACAGACAAAAAAAAAAATCGAAAAGTAGAAATGTTGCCATGGAAACTACCTGAAATAAGTTTAAGTAATAAAATGAAACTCAAATAAAATAAATAAAAGCTATATAGAAATATTAAAATAAGCAGATTACTAAAACTTAAATATAAAAATTCTAATTCAAAAGCTAATTCTAAATATTAATAAATACTACAATAAGTATTTGTTTACTTTATTTGTTATGCTGATCATATTTGTAAAAAAAAATCATTGCATTAAATAAGGAAAATATAAAAGTAGAAGGATAATAGCGGTCTCAGACTTCTGGAGCCCATTGCATTTATTCAATCAGCTAAATGTTGAAAACACTCAAAATAATCTTTGTGAATGTCACAAGAACATCAGCTTGATGTAAAATATCTTACTTCCATGGATAAGTGCTGAGGTGCTGCTCCATCATGACACTGAAAGCTGACCGCAGGTGGAGCAACCTTCGGTCAAACGCTAACACACTACGGCCAAGTACACGTGCCCCGAAGGTGCAAAGCTGGAAGAATGTGAGAGAGGAGACAAACAAGGGTTCATTTTACTACAAATGGGATATTATTAGCTGAAACTGTCTTTTTTCTAACTTTTATTATGAATATTATCTCACATTAAGATTTGTAGGGATTTTTAGCACTTAGTTTAAAAAATGCTTAAATTTTAATATGAAGAAAAATACTTACACCCAGGGGTTTAGGGTGCAAGGTGCTTGCTGGTAAATGAGCAAAGTCCTCACGGTTCTCCCCGGGAACTTCTCTGGGCAAAGGGGGGCGCTCTCCAGGCTTTGAGCTCATCTTCAGCTCCATTACAAGCTGGTCAAAAGGTTTCCGCCTCCCTACCACCTGGCGGCGCTGATGGATGGAATGAATCTGCAGTAGAGGAGATAACATAGAAACACCAGCAAGAGTTTAACACTTTGGTCCAACATCACTGAAATGTTTATGCTGGTGTACTTGTTTCTGTATATTGACTATATGCTCACATTACAAGTCAGCAGTCTGGTGCACAGTTTCTTTCTCTCAGGATGCATCACACCACAGTGCTTGTCCAAGTCACATTCTTTCTCTGAAATAAACAAATTGGTTTCAACAAGAGAAAACATTTTATCTACAAACATTACCACAAAATAAATTATTACTTTACACATTAAATTCAAAAGTTACAGTAAATATACAAGTTATATACAGTTGCAGTACGGTTATAATGTTATAAAAGATTTCCATTTCAAATAAACACTTTTTTTTTTTACTTTCTATTCCTCAAAGAGTCCTGAATAAAACGTTTCATGGTTTCAACAAAAATATGAAGGCGCACAACTGTTTTTCAACATTGATAATTATAAGAAATGTTTCTTGAGTAGCAAATCAGCATATTAGAATGATTTCTGAAGGATCATGTGACACTGAAGACTGGAGTAAATATGCTAAAAATTCAGCTTTGCCATCACAGGAACAAATTACATTTTCTTAATCAATTTAAATGGAGTTCTTTAAATAGATTCGTTTAAATGGATAATTTGAACAGATTCACAAGACTAAAACTAATGATAGACTTTTAAAACTCTTAATGGTCAAATAAAAAGTGGATTTAAAATTAATTTTAAGATTAATTTTAGACTGCCTGCCAACAAAATCATGAATATTTGAAATATCATCCATGTTAATGTACAGTATGTCTGAAATACTAACAAACTCATAGACACAAGAAGATTTTTTGTTTCCCATTATGAGTTGCATCAGAGACTTACTAAGGACTTTCTTGTAGGTTCTGCTGTGTGTTCTTGGTCCGTGCGGTTGAGTGTGTGAGTCCAAACTCTTCTGAATTGTTTTCTCGGAAGATGGGGCTGCTTTTTTTGGTGGCATGGGCAAATGTAGAGGTGTTGGAGGGGTTTCATGGGAAACTTTATCCACCTGCTGAAGACTGGAACACAACACTGGAATGAAACTACACTGGAATAAACAGTGGACGCGTAAGATCAAGTTAAACTGCACTTCATTCCTCCTCACCTGGGTCCTTCACGCTGTGGTTTGGAATGTGCCTGGTGGGGAGAATGAGGTGGTGGTACTCGTGGGGGTCCAGCCCCCCGGTGCCTGCTGTCTTGACCCTCACAAAGGCTTCCATGTTGGGAAGGCGGTCTCCCCTGTTGGGGTCGGTCAGGAGAGCAGTTGGATGGCGTGTCATAAAGCTTGCTGAAGAGGCCATGACGACGCTCACAATGCTTCTCAAACGCCTGTGGCTTCACCACCTGCCCACAGTGGCTGCACACCACCAGGAAGAAGTCATCATGTGCTGGGCAGTGGCCATATATCGACATGTCTGTGACGGCAAGAAAAATGTTTTTATGTGTGGCAATCATGTGTGTCATTATTGCAATCTATAAATCACAAGCCTAACAAACGCCTCCTTACCTCCTTTCTTAAAAGTCATGGTTTCCATCCGTTTCTTCACATTTTTGCTGCATTCTTCCAGAGAGGACCCTAAAAGAGGCAGTGAAACAAACAGACCATCAAAACAGGAAATGAAACACAAAGCAAAGTCCATTCACACCGACACTCCTTTCAAGTGTCGATTTCCTGCTTTTATGAAGCCCCTCCCTCAGAAATACATGATGGGCTGTTTGTTTAGCTGACTCAGTGTTTTGTGATTGGCTAAACCGCCTCTAGTGCGCGTCTAAAAGTCACGCCCCTCAGTTCAGTGCATGTGCCTGGTGTTGTATTGTAAACAATGGCATCGTCTATATTGCTTATCAGTTTGAGCCCGATTGAGACGCAGAGGATATTAATGAAGAGGATCGCGCAGAACCTGTACAAGCACGGCTCTTAATGGTATGTTTTTTGATTGTTGTTGTCTCATACTTTTAGATACGCTGTTATTTGTAAATGCTACTGCTTCTGTTAGCTTTTAATATACGGTTTTATTTAAAGCTGATTAAAGGTTTAATACAGTACGGCAAGCGCATGCACGTCCATGTATAATGCTTCTCATATCTATGTGAAAATAAGTGTTCAATTGTAACAGTTCATTGTTGTTAGCTTTTAATATACGGTTTTATTTAAAGCTGATTAAAGGTTTAATACAGTACGGCAAGCGCATGCACGTCCATGTATAATGCTTCTCATATCTATGTGAAAATAAGTGTACAATTGTAACAGTTCATTGTTGGAGCTGAGCTGAATGAGAGAGAGAGAGAGAGAGAGAGAGAGAGAGAAAGAGAGAGAGAGAGATGCAGAGCGTGTGTAGAGCAGGGGAACGTGAGGAACAGTACTGAGAACCGCTGCTTTAGAACGTTGATTTTGAAACTTGTGAATCGTTAGAAGACAGAATCATGATTCATATATGAATAGATTTTTACGAGCACCCCTAGTTTTCTCTTCCTCTTCTCTAAAGCAGCGCAGCATGGCCTCGCCCCCTTCGTTGCATGTTCCCGGGGGCGGGGTTTGGCTGCGCTGCTTTAGATCCACGGAAGTAACTCATTGTAGTCCCTACGAGCCGTTTTTGTAGGCATTAAACTGCCAGAATTTTAAAAGACGATATCTCCATTTGCATTGAACTTTCAGTGCCGCAACTTTGCAGATATTGTTTATGCTCAAACAGCAACATTACACACTAACTAACATTAAAAAAGTTAAATCGCAATCAACTACCCCTTTAAAAATAACTAACTGCAATTAATTGAACTGTATATTCTTTAATAGATCAGAATCTGTTTAGGGGACCAATTAAAAAGCTTTTTTTGCTGCTGCACAGGGTCTATGTATTAGCTTGGTAAAATCTGGTGAAAATTTCTATTTTGTAAAATGATAGATACTATTACTATCCTTATCCTATTCTATACTGTTATATGTATCATAAAATAACCCTGGCAAGAACATACTCGTAAGCTATATGTTTACTGTTTATAGAGGTTGACAAGTCAAATTAGGAGGTAGTAGGTGTGAAATTAAACCCACAGTAGTGAGTAGGATGGAAAAATTAGTTGCCAAAGACCTCTACACTACGGTAAAAAAAAGAAAGTTTACTGATTAATTTTAACCACAAATGTGACGTCCCTTTATATATTGTTGGCCTACATATTTTTTAGCAGTTTTTAGCAATTTAATTAATTTTGTTTATTTTAACATAACATTATTTGTAACTCATTTTAAGTCATGTTTAGCTCTAGTTCTAACATCTTAAAGTGGGCTACTGGACTTCCAGGGTGGGCTGTACAACTGTGAAGGTGGTTGATGTCAAGTTCATGACTGGGTCATTGTAGACTCTGGAAGTTTGCTGAGGCCTTCTAGTCGGCCGTGGTCCCCCAGTTGAGAACTGCTTTAGATATACCGTCAAATAATGTTCCCACTTCTTATGGCACTTCACAGCTCACTGCATTCATTAATATGGGTCATTTAATTTCCTGTATTACATGAACTACATACATGAGAAATGCAATTCTTATTATTAATCAGTTGATAAGTAAGATAGATGGAGAGAGACCAACTCAGTGTGCTATATAAAGATGTAATGTAAAGAAAAGTCAGAGCAAGGGCAGTTTGATGTGAAGATGCCTCTTGATTACTGGCTATTGCAAAGGGAAATATCAACCCAGCGTTTCATAATGCTGTCACCACATGATAATCTGATAATAATGAGACGTTCTCACGGTGACCAGCACAATTATGAACCTGTGAGTGGGTAAATGGGTTCTGAGGCTTATTTATCTTATAGTTCTCTGACCAGAGACTCGTCTCCACCTTCACTTCCCGTCGCGCTGGCTGTCAGATCACCAAAGGTGACATACTGCGCCGCATCTTTTGGCTTTAAAACTGTAACCAACACGACAACGTACATAATGAGTTAAGGCACATTACAAAAACCATTTTCAAGACAGTACATTTTAGTAAAGAGTACGTTTTACTAAAGAGAGCGCTAGGACCTGGGAGAATTTCCGAAAGTACAGTGTGTCGGATTGCAACCCATGCGGCGTTAGGACCCGGCGGGGCCTTTGTTTGGGTCGTGCTGGCCGGAGTTTGCGCTTTTCAAACCGATCCATTTCCTGTGCTCGCTCGACGCGATTACAACCGAAAGTATCGAGAGCTCGACATTATTTTACTCACCATCCGACGTGGATACGTTCGCTTTGTCGATCCAAGCGGTCCAGCTTTGCCCTACAAAGTCAAGGATGGAAATCTGCCGATCTAAGGCAGCCATTGCCGATTTAGCGCGTGCACGATCCGCCACCATCACGGCGGGAGCGCATTACGACGTCCTGACATAGCTATTAGAGTTTTTTTTTTTTTAAGAGGGGGATTTGGTTAGCCTATCTCTTTCTATCACTGCATAAATCAGAAAATACAGACACACAAATTAACTTTGCTTCTTAGAAATTAAAAAGATCCTTTTGCAAATTCCTCCAGAATATAGATAGGAATAAAACTGGAATGTTTGGTGTAAGTGCTACTAAAGTGGAGATTTGGCTCAGTCAAAAATCAAAACTCATTTTGGAAAAAGAAAAAGTATTTAAAGATAGATAACGGGATAAAAACGCTTGTGTGTTTTAAATGTTCTTTTGCCGCTACTCTGAAAGAAGCAGGGGCGTAGATTGCCAGCTTTGCCCTACAAAGTCAAGGATGGAAATCTGCCGATCTAAGGCAGCCATTGCCGATTTAGCGCGTGCACGATCCGCCACCATCACGGCGGGAGCGCATTACGACGTCATCTTGCGTGGGAGGTCCGACTCAATTGTTCGAGTCGTTTCTTTTGAAATGTTCGTTCCAAAGAACCGGTTCACCCAAAGAGATGGTTTAATCAGGGATAATACACATTAATAATACATAAAAATCAATGTAAAATGTGCCAGATTTAGCCAGGGTGGCTCATTTTCATGTAGTCCCAGGGCAGGTCGATGCAGGCTGAAAAAAATAATCAATACATAAATACATTTTTAACCCTAAAATCCTGATAAATGTTCACAATTTTGCTTTGACCACAAACATTTTAATTTATTTTTTCATTAATTTATTTGAGAAATCACGATGTCCTTATATTATTACAGTATATAAACTATTCTGCCTTATTATGTGATAAAAAAAGTGTTTTTAGTATATAAACAAATCATTATTATTGGTTATTGTCCAGCAGTTATACGATTTCTACGCCAATTAAAAGCTAGAAATTAGAGAAAAATTATAGTTGCCTATACACTACCAGTCAAAAGTGTTTGAACAGATTTTTAATGTTTTTTAAAAAGTCTCTTCTGTTCGCCAAGCCTGCATTTATTTGATCCAAAGTACAGCAAAACAGTACAATTTTGAAATATTTTTACTAGGCTATTTAAAACAACTATTTTCTATTTGAATATATTTTAAAATGTAATTTATTGTGATTTCAAAGCTACATTTTTAGCATAATTACTCCAGTCGCACGATCCTTCAGAAATCATTCTGATATTCTGATTTGCTGCTCAAAAAACATTTATTATTATTATGATGTTGAAAACTGCTGAGTAGAATTTTTTCAGGTATCTTTGATGAATAGAAAGTTCAGAAGAACCGCATTTATCTGAAATAGAAATATTTTGTAACATTATAAA